AGGGGGAGACATGATAGCAATGTTCCAATATTTGAGGGGATGTCACAGAGATGAAGAGATCAACCTATTTTCCAAAGCACCTGAAGGCCAGACAAGGAATAATGAATTGAAACTGATCAAGGAGAAATTCAACTTAGAAATAAGGAGAAATTTTCTGACAGTGAGAACAATCAACCAATGGAACAGTTTGCCTTCAGATGTTGTGGGAGTTTCATCCCTGGAAGCTTTCAAGAATAGACCAGACTGCCATCTGTCAGAAATGGTGTAGAGTCTCCTGCTTGGGTGGAGACCTACAAGGTCCCTACAAGGTCCCTTCCATCTCTCTTTTTCTAATTCTTTCCATACCTAATGTGAGGATGTGATTATCAGCTGTCTCACAAAACATCTGCCCTAGAAGAATTTTTTATTTTTATCTTATTTTGTGCCTTTGAGTCAGTCTTGACTCTTGGCCATTATGAAGCTCTTGGCAAGTCCTGAAGTTTTCCTGGCAACATTTTCAGAAGTGGTTTGTCATTGCCTCCTTCTAAGCCTGAGAGAGAGAGAGACTGGCCCAGAGTCACACAGCTGGCTTTGTGCCAAAAATAGAATTAAGTTTTCTGGTTTCTAGCCTGAGTCCTTAACCACTAGAACAAGCTGATTCTCCTGGTGCAATTAGTCATTCACAAAAGATCCATATCTATAAAAAAAGAAAAGAAACACTCTTGGGTGTAGCTACCCACACTTTAATTTCTAAGGCTGTCTTAGAGGTGAGGGTGGAGCCCAGAGAAATATAGAGAACTGCAGATGATGCTTGACAGTGGTGCTTTGTAGCATGCTAACTTCTTATTCATTTTAGTTAATTAAAATAATGCCAAAGTAAAATAGTTGGGTAAGAAAATCACCCTACTGACACCCAAAAATATGATTTCATTTGGTAGGCATGTTTTTGCCTTAAGAAGTATGTTTGGGACTAGATGAGAGATTGTTACCCTTAGTCAGCATGAAGTAGATGTTTATATATAATAAAATTATTTTCAAAACATATATAGTTGTATACAGTTACAGTATATTTGAGGTATTGAAAAATAAAGCTTTTGGCAAATTGATGAGATCTTGATGTTTCCATTTTTATCTATTTAATTTTCCATTTTATTTATTTGACCAATTTGTAGTTCTTCATATTTTAAAATATCATGGTACAACTTAAGTAATATAGTAATATAATATAAAAATGAAAATGATTAAGCATTTTTAATCTTATACATTTAAATATGAGTGAGATTAATTAATCCAAATAAACATGGATACGATTAGGCTGATTATATCACCTTGTTCATTTTTTATAAGTACTTGAATCAATTAATTGTTGCACATTTAGAAGGCATCTATGGATGTTATACTATTAGTTAGCTATAAGATCAACAAAGTTGGGTTAAAGAGGTACCATTTTAATTGCTATGGATTTGTTTAAATAGATTCTAATTAAGCAATTATAGATGAATTCTTGCCAACAATTATTGTAAGATCAATACCCACACAATGAAAAGATTAATTATCTAAATGCTATTTAATGAAGAATAAATATTAAAACTGTTTATTTAATACACAATTACAATCTAACACAATAAAAAGTTATACACTAGAACTTTTTTCCTAATGATTTTTTTAAAGTAATGGTTTGAAAATTCTACCCATTGCCTAAAAGAAAATTATCTTTTATAATGACATTTTTGAATTAAGGCCTATGGAAAAAAGTATTTCAAAGAAACATTTTTACATGACATTCTTCTGATGGTATTCATTTTTATATTATTCCATTATCCTATTCAGGTATTGTAACACTCAAACTTTGATTAAGCTTCATTTCACCAGTATAATTTAATGGAATGGAAAGAGTTCATAGTGAGTGAAAGGAGAACCAGAACTAGCTGCTTTCTTGAGGGTAATTTGCACTTTGCACAAATGAGATCAGTGTGATATTGTACACCTGGAAGGTATACACCAAACTGGCTGGGACCTGGGACCTCCATCAGGTATTCAGTGGATGTCACTTCAAATTCTACAAAGAAGAGAAGCAATGTATAATGTAATAAATAAATTGATAATAAATAAAGGAGGCAAAATAGCACCATTATTTTCAATGTTCACAGCCTGATTCTAAAAGAGTGAACTATCATTTCATTCCTGTATGGATGTATTTATTTAGGACACCAAGCTTGATGACTCAGGAAGTTGTATTTTTTAAAAATGACCCAGTTAATTTTAGATGCTATTGTTGGAAGCATATCAATGAAAATTAATCAAGAGGTCATAAAAGAACCACAAGGATAAAGTGCAGAACACTGGTGGGTGGGAGAACTTTTGGCAACAGCCACTACAAAGGCTTTAATGAGAGGAAAATATGTTCTTAAGCAAATTAGAGAGCAGTGGGATGATTAAATGGTAAATAATGGTTATATACTGTCTAAAAGACAGAAACAATAGATGTTTGAGAAGTAATATACTGTCAATTTGCTTTGTATATTAGTTTGTTTCTGAGTAACTCAATTTACCCTTTTGACCAAAACAAATAGATCTCAATAGGCCTGAGGTAATAAAAGTGGGTAGCTGGACTTATGGACAAAAGAATCTTGTCCACTTCCTCAGGCATTACTGAATCAAGTTCAATCCAGATAACATCACAAGACTATTCCCTGGGCAACTCATTAGAACTTACCCAATCATGCTCCAACTCCAAGCAAATCTGAGCAACTTTATCTGCTACATAACATGAATATTCCTCATTATAGCTGAAGATGATGTTCAAGCCACCCCAATAGAGAGTGGGTCATCCTAAACAAGACCACTGGAAGATTATCAATAGATGCAATAAGAGTGGATAAATACCAATGTTTCATCACCCTTACCACCATTTGTGCCCAAATATATTCAATGTATTTGGTCTTTGCCTTTCTCCAATTGTGCTTTGGGTATCGTTTCTGATGTTTCATTTTCCAGAGCTCATTAGAAAACTAGAGAGCATATGGGATTGATGAACAGAGAGATATTACAGAAGAGCAATCTACTCAGGGTCTCCATCACATGCGTATTCCAGGCTGCAGCCAAAGTGCCTAACTAGTCCTCGGAAAAAACCTGAAGCTTCCTCTGGAATCCAGCAACATCCATGAATTGCCTAGGACAAGAGTTCCTAACCACAGCCCACTACTGGGCCTTGAGTGGTTTGGAACTGAGCCATGGAAGTGGTTGGCAAGTGCACATGTACGCGCATCCCCACTTGCATAAGCAGTGGGCAAGCACATGTGCATATGCTCCATTTGCATGAGCAGCGGATGCACATGCCCGCCGCTTGTGCAAATGGAGGTGCACATGCACATTTCCTTGCCTACTCACATAAAACCATCCCCTCTCCCCTCCCCCCGCTGGTCCACAAAGCTGGAAAGGTTGTATAACTCTGGTCAAAGACAGACTGCAGAAATGGCTGCCCTAGAGAATTAGACACCAATCAAAGAGGGAGCTGTCTATAGCAATAGACTGATGGTAATGTTCTCAAAAAACAGATCATACTGCAACTGCCCCAAGGCAAGAATCAAATCTAGTCTATGACTTCCAGAATAAATTGGACCTCTATTATTTGGGACAGATACATCCATCCAGAATCCATGAATGCCTGATATAACATCAGCAGGCGACAAGTTAAAGTTCCCAAGGACCATCAACTTCAGCTATAAGTATTAGTAACACGGTATCAGCAGATATGCAAGTATTTTTCCCTATTAACTGCTAAGAGGTATGAGCATTGTCCTTGATTTTTTCTGAAATTGAGTTTTCCAGACTTACTCCAGTTCCTGACTAGACCAGTTGCCAGGTCTATGTGAAAAACAGTTCCTCTATGTGGCCAAAGTTTATTTTCTTCATCACAGATTATGCTTGAGATTTCTTAGATGGCTTCCTCTTCAGATGCTATGATTTTCAGTAGAAATGAATGCTGGCAGCTCTCCTTGTAAAATTAACATATGGCATCATCTTCTAAATTAACAGTCAATATTCCATGCTGATATTTCCTGTGAGCCTCAAGGAGAGTGCTTCTGCAAAAAAAAAAAAAAAAAAGCAAAAGAAAGGAAAAAGAAAAAATCTGTGACTTGCTTGCTGCTGAGAAATTCTCAGCACTTTTCACAGAGATTTCTGTTGGGTGTTGCTGACTACATATTCTGCTTTTTAAAATATTTTTTGTATTAATCTATCACAAATATATTTTCCTTATGTCTTTTTTTATTAATGTCATTAGAACAATTATGTCAGATAATGGATAGAATTTCACAGGCTTCTATGCTGTGGGCTAATTGCAAGAGTGCAGTTGTCCCCATTATTGTACAGCACATTCTTGTGGGACAAAAGCATAAAAAGTTTTGGTTTCAGTGCTATGTATTTCCTTTGGATTCAATCAATCCTTTTGTAGTTATGCCCAAAATTGTACTGTAAAGTTTTTGAATACATGAATTTTTAGGCAGTTCTCTTTATTTTTGGGGGGGCGGAGTTCCATTTCAACAACCACCCAAATAGTGGGTAACAAGACCTTGAAATAATTACTTTATGGATGTACAAATGCACACTTACCATTTTGTACACGCATAAAATTCCATTCAAATATCCAAAAGTCCTCTCCAAACAGAATCACGTCCTTCAAACCACAAACATATGAAGAAGTTTATTGCAGATAGCAAGATCTTGTTTGCACTTACAAACCAAATTTGATTGCTAATAAAAAATAAGGGTCACCTCTATCAATATATGTCCCCAATTTCATGAAGTTTTCTTCTGTAAAAAAGGCTTCTGTTTTTCTAAATTATTTTCAAGTATTTGTAGATGTCATGAGTTGGTGGTTCTGAGTCCAAATTATTGTTTAAAAATTATGGTACTATCATTGGTCCATTCTTCATACATCCAATAAATCCTAATATGCAGTGATTATTTCATATAGATACTTCTAATGTATTGATTTGCATATTTTATTGACATGGCAGGTTTTGGTCACTTCATCAAACAGTTGCTGACACTGGCAGGTGGTCGCATGGTGCTAGCCCTGGAGGGAGGACATGATCTTACTGCCATCTGTGATGCATCAGAAGCTTGTTTAAATGTTTTACTAGGAAACGAGGTAACCAACATATTCAAAGTTAATAAAACAATGCAAAATTCCTGGATATTTGTCATACTACACTAGATTTATAATCTATTATAGAAATAGGGGTAAAGGTCAGTAGAATTACTTTGTCTTTGTAAGTACTTATAAAAAACGTTTGTGGGGAAATTTAATATAGTGATAGTGGAAAACCTGTTTCATCAGCTATTCATAGAATGGAAAGTCTAAGTATTTTTTTTTTTTTGAAAAACGATGCCTTTTTTTTTTAAACGAAGTCATTGCTGCCTACATAGATCCAGCCCAATAGACAAAGATTAAGCACTGGGTTATCCATCCCTAAGACATTTTTTTCAGACATCTGCTCTTCTTGTGATTAATTTCCTTTATTTAAATGAAGATATGCCAAATCATTGCAGTTGAGAATTTTATTCATTAATGAGTAATGAATTAGAAACTTAGCTATTAACACATAGTCAGCTAAAAAGCTGATTTCAGCCTTTAGGATCAATAACAAAGGATAGGATTTGAATCCCAATTTTCATAATTTGGAGATACAAGTCTTTGTCGGCTATTAATCTCGCAATTAGAAGCTCTTTTTTGGTGGAAATTCCATTTTCCAAATTGCATAAACATTGCACTTATGTTCATTCAAAAAGAAAAACCTGGCAAGGCCAGGACTGACTTCTCATGATGGCATATCCAACTGAACTCAAATTAGAAAGGTCAGAAAGGCACTCTGCAGTTTGTCAAATGTATTTATTCATGTGCTAAGGATTAGAATTCATAAACATGAATGAAGCAGGCTTTGAAATACTTTTATGTTGTTCTTGGCTTCTCTGGCCATGCAACAGTATGCTATTCCATCTACACAACTTTTCAGTGGATGCATAGACACACATACATATACAGGCACACAGAGGTATGTAGATAGATAGTTAGATAGTTAGATAGATAGATAGATAGATAGATAGATAGATAGATAGATAGACAGACAGACAGACAGACAGACAGACAGACAGACAGACAGACATATAGATGAAATAAACCTCTGTAGGCAAAACAGTTTCTTCCAACATTTGCAATGAGCAAATCAGACTTGAAGATGTAATAACACAGACTAATTACAAAAAGAGGTGCTTCACAAGAATTTGCTTTAAAATCTTTGGAAGGAAAACATCCCAGAAGAAACAAAACATACAGATACAAATATATCTGATTTTTGCACAGAAAATAATCAGTCGAGAAGCTATGTTGTGTTCTACGTAGCTACTGCTATTCATTCTCTGCAATAATGAAAGATGGCTTATAATTTAAACATTTAAAGAAAGGATATAATTATATAAATACAATTTTATTATGTATTACTTATTACTTTTATATGGCACTTGATTCCCAATGACTCTGAACAGTTTACAAATGATTAAAATATGACAAACATGACAATAATAACAAGAAGTAAAAAAGCATAGATATTGCAGAGTAAAAATTGGGTAGGAAGAAAAAAAACCTAAAGGATAAAAAATTCACTTTAAGAGTGGACAACTAAATTTCATTTTTGATGTGTTCCATTGTGCCCACAGTATAAAAATGACAATAAAGATTATCTTATCTTATGTTAAAATTACAGGTAGTTATCAACTTACAACAATTTACTTAATGACCAAAGATACAATGGCACAGAAAAATGTGATTTATGACAGTCTTTGCATTTATGACTGTCACAGCATCCCCATGGTCCTGTGATCAAAATTTAGATGCTTGACAACCAACACATTTTTACAATGGTTGTAGCCTCCTGAGGTCACGTGATCATCATTTAGGACCTTTCCAGCTGACTTCAGGCAAGCAATGGGGAAAGCCAAATTCACTTTAACAACTAGGTGATTCACTTAACAACCATAGCAAAAAATCATAAAATTGAGCATGATTTACTTAACAACTGTCTTGCTTAACAGTGGTCATTAGGTCAAGGAATATCTGTAACAGAATATGAGGTCACTCACTGCAGAAGTTACAAATTAACTGAATGAAGTTTTGAATTGTATTACATTTAGTTATAAGTTAAATCATGGGAAATAATGCAACTAGCTTCTCTTGGTTGTCAAGAGATTTTGCACCTCAGATAACCCTTTTCCAACTTTGTAAAACCACTATTTCTGGCATAAACAGGTTTAAAACTTTCTCTGTTATATGAAAGTGCTCCCTCAACCCCTACTCCAGCCCACTCATAGGATCTCAGAACTATTTGCTTGTGAAGTTCATCATTCTATAAAATCACATCAGCTTCCAGTTCATCTTTGGCTGTTCTGGCAGAAACTAATGGTGTAGCTAGACTAATATCAGTTGTATATTGTTGTTATTCATCCATTTAACATAATTTTTGATCTTGTATTGTTACTTGATTACATATGCCACCCATACATAGTATAGTCCTTGCACACTCATTTGGATTAGCTCTCCTAAAATTTCAGGAAAGCAAGGAAAAAACAATCTACTCCTGAATTCCTTTTGCTTGATAAGTAGAAAAGACACAAAAAACTAATTCTGTGTCCCTGAATATTATGCTTCAGCTATAATGCATTTAACTTGCAAGGGAGTCCCATTAATTTCAATGTATTTGATTTCCAAGTATGTGTGCTTTGGACTACAGCCCGAATTTGGAAATTATACAGAAACCTAACTTGGATCTAAATCACACTTACTTGCATTCCAATGAAACCAGTAGGACCAACTTCTAAATGTAAACTTTTAAGATTACAATATTTTATACTGAGAATCAGTTTGCTTCTTCCCAAGAGTATTTATGTCAGTTTATCATCGTTTAAAGCTAGAAAGGATATGGACTGAGTCTATATGGATGTCCAAAATCCCAGGTTTCCAGATGTTTGTTTGAAGTGAGAGAGTGACAAAAATCCATGGGTGCTGACTCCATTCCAGATCATTTTATGTTAAGTGAAAAAATCCAAGGTGGAATTGTTCATTGGTTTGATAAATTATGCTTAGAATATTGTCATGGTGTGAAATCCTGTGCAGATGAAATTCCCAATTGAAAGGATGCCATGCCAAATGTATAAAGTATCTCACTTCATATATTAACATCTGATATGGAAATGCCAGGAGTGAAGCTGGTTTGAACAGGGATTCTGGAGTACAGTAAAAGCAGACCTGGGCCTCTTTTGCTATTTCAATTACATGACTGCTGAGTAGAACTTGGGTGAAACCAGATTTGGCAGGAACTAGAGGTTGTTTCTCTTTAAAATCTCTTTCTAAACTTCTCTCGGGAGCCACTCAGAGGGACATTCTTTTGAGAAGTGTGAAAAGATTAAGAAGTTAGCCTCCTGTTGCAATCTGAAGTAAAAATCCTGAATCCTTAATTGAGGTATTTCGGGTAAAGGAGATTAAGCTACTTCAAGATATTCATAACACACTCAATTGGTGATTTTAAAGCAAATCCATTCATTATATAGGCAACTATCAAAACAAAGAGACCTGTTGTTTCAACTAATTAGAAGAAAAGCTTGAACTGAAAAGGATAAATTGTTTAGATGACTAATTGTTTGAGATAATAGCATGAAATCAGTATTTTAAAGGCAAGACTTTTTTTTCCTGATAATCTCTTACTTATCGTACAAGAAATTATAAGTAAAAAAAGCTCTTTCTGTTTAAGAAATACGTAGCACTTGACTTGAAAGAAACTTTTGCTAAAGAAAACTGCAGTTAGGTTGACTTTTAAGTTCTCTTCCTAAAGCTGATGCTTAGGGCCAATTCTGCCATTAGATAAAATGAGACAAGCCACCTCTGACAGCTGATCTGGGATGTCATGTAATTGAAAAAGCAGAACATGTGACAGTTATTAAATTTATTTTTGTATTTTTCTTGCTAAAGAAAAGTAGAACATGAAATTTTCTCCCTCAGGTGCCAGAATAACTTGATTGCTTTTAGTCTTTTGAACCCTGACAGGAAGGAAACACCTGCTGCCCAGAGGCTGCAGAATGCTGACCATGGTGAGACTCTCACTTTGCATCTTCAAGTTACTGAATAAAAGCAATGAAAGGACACTGGGAAAAAATCCTTTAAAAGGAATAGATATAATCCATATAATTTAACCTTATATCTATGCAGAATTGAGAATGAACCAAATATCAATAAACATGGTACATGTAAGTGCAAGATGTCAGGACAGAAATAAGAATTTTTTGAGACATTGGAGCAGAAAAGTGCAGAGTCATGGACAAATGGACCCATTCTTTCCAAAATATTTTTGTCCCTCTCAAATTTTCCATTTTTCTATAAAACTGTGCAACTGCGTGATTGTGAGCTCACATTTCTTTGTAAAAGTCCAGTTTACCTTGGCCCCCCTTTATCCAGTGTGCTTAGAGATTCCACTTCTTTGAAAATGCCTTTTCTCATACAGTACATATACAAATGTAAAAGCAAATGCAAGAAAACATGCGAGAGACCAAGTGGGTTAGCCTCAACTGTTTAAAAAATATCCTTTGGTATATCTTTTCAAGCATATCCATCAACTGGTTCTGTTGCTCCTGCACTGACCTTAGTCAGTTGTTTATGTAAAATTCTTTTATAAAGATGTATTTTCACTCTTTCAGTTTTTGTGCTCTTTGGCTCCAGCGCTAAAAGAATGCCAAAAAGCGTAGGAGTGAAGGTGATGTTGCAATGCCTGTCAACTATAGAGTGATCCCTTTTGTTCACTGCTAGGTCTCATGATATTTTCCAGGGACACCCTCTTGTCTATTTAGTTTAATGATTTTAAAGAATGGATCATTGCCATCAAAAATTATTCTCTGCAATACTGATTCTCTCCCTCTCCGAGAAGATATAATTTATTACAACCCTTGGTTTTTTTTTTTAAAAAAGTGGTTCTTTACAAGAGTGCATTTGGCATCACAAAGGTGAGAGTGTAATGATTCTACCTCTAGATTCTGATGAGGTTTCACTGACATGGAGCAGAAGCTGACAGAGGAACTGAGGCCAAAGTTCTGAAATGAATTGTTAGCTGTTTGCCAAAGCTGTTAAGGTGACACAAAGGGAGAATGATTAAATATATGAAAATCATTATATTATTATTTACTATATTTTCTTAGGTTCCATTGCATTTTAGTTAAATTATAAATTGTATCTATTATACTCATCCATTAATATTATCGGAACTACCGGTATGCACATATGAACCTGCAATAACATTAGGCTCCCAGGCTGGATTTGCATTCCCTGATGCTTTGGGAACTAAGTTCATTAGCCTTTTGGTGAAGTGCTTTCAAGAACATGTCTTCCTTTTCAATAAATATATTCATTTGTTTAAAGAATTACTTATTGAAATAAACCTATCATTTTTATCAAGAATGAATTATATCAGTCAGGAATTTGAAAAATAAATCTATGTTAAAGCTAATATAAGGAAAATATTTCAGTTTACACCCAAATAATCTCTAGAATTGGGAGCAGGACACTTGGGATAACGTAAAATATGGTTACAGGACTTTTTTCTTTCCAATCTAAGTAGTTGCAAACACTGCAAATACAAAGCTCTCTTTAATTTTATAAGTATTCTTTACTTACTTACTTACTTACTTACTTACTTACTTACTTACTTACTCACTCACTCACTCACTTACTTACTTAGAATTGTACCACATCACAAAGTTGTGTACTCACATGATAAGCCTGTATAAAAAAATTTCCATAGTCTAATATATCTACACTTGCCAAATAGTTATACAGGAACATCAAAACAAATTTCAACATCACAAGCCATAACTGCACTGTACATAGAAATTTATATTGATATTATACTTTGTATTACTCATAGATATTGTGTAGTGCATATCAAATTAATGTGTTAATTTTTCATTTTTTTATTTCAGTCATATGAATTATGGGGTGGATGTTGATATTGTATGATTTTTTTCAATTCTAAAGCAGTTTTGTTTTGGTGTACAGCTGCACATATAGACACAATGGAATTTGATTTGTGAGTAGCTTACCAAAATTACCGAAATAACTAACATTTTTAAATGACTATTACATAGACATGCACCTGCTCAAGAGTCTCTGAAAATTAGTCTTGCAGTCATTGGAAAGCCCCCTTGGAATTCAATTACATGGTTGAAAAATAGAAAGCAAAATCTTTGTCTTTCTCTCCATGGAACAGCAAGGAAAAATCACAATTATTTTCTCTGATTGATATTTTCAGAATTCAATATTTTTGATGTGTTTTTGTTTCCACTGAATTGTCAGTATATTCATACTCTTTACTATTGATTTCTTCTATTTTTTTCCAGTTGGAACCCATCTCTGAAGACATCCTTCATCAAACACCTAATGTGAATGCAATAGTTTCTTTGCAAAAATCTACTGCAATTCATAGTAAGTTTCAGAGATTTACTCATTCCTAAACATTTAATATTACCTTTATTAACTGTATAGTTTTTTAGGATATGTAAACAATCCATTTTTTCTTACTAGTCATAGCATAATAGCACCATATAGCCATCTGGTGGATTCTTCTTTCTCCCTTCATTAATAGAAGTTTCCAGATATCTTTTTGTTGTTGTTGTTGTTGTTGTTGTTGTCTATTGGCAGCTCACTCATAAACTTTCCATATCTGGGCAACTATTCCTATTGAAAGATATGGATGAAGAACTGATTGCAGTTGAAAATATGTTGAAGAACCTGACATACCTAGATGCATTATAGGGCTCACTTTAGAGCCCATAATCTTTAGAGCTGGTGGGACCTTTGAATTTTGAAGCTAAATCGAGGCAGATAAGAATGCACTTAATAGTGATTGCTCCTTAGCATTGATTGCAATGCCAGAATATATTTTCGATCCCCTTCCAATTTACTTTTTCATTTTTCTAGATATATGGATGCTCACAATTTTTTGTTCTCTAAAAATACACACTGCTCTTACAGTATGTGGTTTTCCAAAATATTCCAAGTATTGCCATAATATGTGTACAATTCTAAATATAGTTGTTTTTGTGAAATGAATGTTGCACAGGTGAATAATGCTAATATTTTCAGCCATTTTGATAACTCTTCTATTTTAGCTCCTGTGACTCTACTATTAGCTATGGTGTTAACTGATGAAGATTTTCTCTATACACTCTGTATTTCATTGTTAAATCCCAATGTTTTTCAGTTCTTTTTGGGCTACACTATTATGCCTTGTTATTATAGCACATTCGTAAATTAAACTTGTAGTCATCAATTATTGTGATGTATGGAATGTTATGTCCTAGATGTTGGTCTATATAAATTCAGAAATATCAAAAAAAATTACATGATCATTCTGGAACTTTTTTTCAGTGTTGCAGTCACATCAATATTTTATGACATCAGATCCACACTTTTTACATAGATCCCATTGTACCATTTTTGTCAGTGTTTATGTCTTTTCTTATAATTTGTCTGAATAATTTTGATAGAATTTGGGAAGAGTTTCATCTTTCTCTTTACAAACGTCTATTTCAGTGCTTTGAATTTTCATTTTTATTCAGTTGTTCTTAGTGTCTGTTCTTATGCTGCAATATTTGCCCTGATGTTTCCTTCTTGATTGATCCAATATGAAGCCATTGTCAAGTTTTGCCACTGTCCATATTTCCCTCACTTTTTCTCAGATATTGACCTGATTTGCAGATGTTTATCTTTCCAATTTCTCATTTGCTGGTGTAACTGGGGGAAAGGTCATTATTATTTATATATGTATTATTCATGATTTATAGTAATAACATATAATATAATAAATATGTATTACAATTTAATGCAAATAATTTCTTAGAAAATAAAGACAGGTTGATGAGGGCTCCTGATGTGAAATGTTTGTTCAGAAGAGTGATTATAACTTTTATACTAGGGTTTACAGACCCATGTTTGAATTATGTCAAGAATACACCATCTTTTTAGATCAAGGGCCACCAGTGCATCTTTGTGGAATTTGCTGGGCAGAAAATAGACATTGCCAAAGCTGAAAGTGATTAATTCCTAAATTATATTAATATCTTTATTAATAGCTTCTTCTCTTATGGATGGTATGTGTCTTCAATCTCGAGTCCTCTACCAGAGATCTGGGAGTTTGAGGCTTCTGTGCAAGATGTTAACTGTTCCTAGCCCTGCACTCCTCTGGACAGAGAGTTCTGATGTCATTCCTGTGCTCTCTTGGAGCCACTCTCCCAGTTTAGGAGTCACAGCCCCAAGTGCTCTTACAATGGCTGGGACTATTTTATTTTCCATATCCTCTCCAAGTTCTCCTTTAAGTCCTGGAATTTCTTTAGATTCTCATATTCTTTTGTCCTTATTTTCTGTCAGTTGGCACCACTACATCTATCACCATTGCTGTCTTTTGGTCTTTGTTTATTACCATAATGTCTGGTAAATTGGCTAGCACCCACCTGTCTGTCAGGATCTGGAAGTCTAATCAAATCTTAGTTTCCTTATATTCCATTCTTCTATGGGATCCCCATCTGGATTTAGGAAGGTCTAGCTGTGTATTGTGTACAAGAACATTTGTTGTGTCATTCAGTGTATGCTGTTTCTGCTTGTTATCTTACGCCCTGCCACTATGTGTTGTTGCTTTCTGCGGACCAGTTGCATCATACGGATGCTGCACCCATCCCAGCTCCGGCAATGCAAAAAAAACCCATGATACGTCGCTACATGTCATGTAACACAACGAGTTTGACACCCATGCTGTAGAGTCTGCATCTTGGGTCCTTCCAAGTGAGGTAGACCCACTTCTATGGAACTGCTGCTTAGTGTCCGTTTTTGTGCTGCTGTGATCAGTGCCTCACTCAGTGCTATCTTTTAGTACAGGTCTTTCTAACCACTGGTAGGATTTCCGAAAGTCTGCCACATCAGCTCTCTATTGATGGCTATATCCCATGCAGAGTCTTGTAAGCTTCAGAAAGGTGTTTTTCTTTAAAGAAAGTTTATGCAAGCACCTCTTCAAAGCTGCTTGTTGGCCTCTTCCATTTGTAAAACAAAGTAAAGTTCTTGCATTGCTTCACATTAAGGTGTTTCAAACCTTTGTCTGATAGTACCAATAGCCAGAAGGGATTTTTGCAATTGCATGGGAAAGATTCTTCTAGAATTAAACTTCCCAAACAAGGTTTCTGGGTAACACAAAGGCAGTCCTACCACTTCAGCAAGAAAACTGCATTGCCTCCAAACAAGCAAAATACAGCCATTTTGCAAAGACAAAGAAAAAGGAATAACAAAAAAAAAAAAAATACTTATTTCCACAACTGACAGGGAAATATTTGGGATAGTTTACATTTTTGTTAACAAAAAAGAACTGAACACAATTTTGTGAGTGTTACAATACATTTTCATTCTATTTGCTGAGAAAAATGATCAAAGCAAACATGAGAACATTGAGTGTTGTGCTGATTTCATTGTAAGGAATAGGAAAAGTGAAAGTGTCTCTATTTTGTCCAGTTGTTAATGGCACATTTGTGAGTTTTGAATCAGATGAAGTTTGAAGGATGCAGTTATAGAAAGCCAGAATTCTAGCTGTGGGCTACTATTACTTGAATTTTTAATACCTTGACAGAAACTCAAAAGTGAACCATGGGCTATCATTTCATTTATGGTAAAGTAGAGTATTATTCCTATGGCAATATATTTGAACTGCTTTTTCTTGAAACACCCACCCACTTTGTGAACACTGAAATCTATAAATAAATGGGATTGAATACTTTGTTCCCTGAAAGCAGTGACTGTTGTTTAATATGCTGTGAGAACATTGTGGAATGTCTCTATAGCTTAGTTTGTTTGTTTGTTTTACTATAGTCTCTAAGTATACCTTTGATAACAATTTTAATTTTTATATTTTTACATGATATTTTCCCAGATCTAACAATTATAGTGCCTTAAATACAGGAGGAGGTGGGGAATGTCAAGAATTTTACAAGTTGGAAAAAAGCCAATTTTCTGATGCTTTTAATGCATTTTCATACATTACTCAAAAGCAAGCCCTATTGAGTTCAGATGGGATTTAATCTAAGTTAAGTGGGTATAGGGTTGCAGCTGGGAATCTTAATTTTGTAATGTATTTCAGACTTTATCTCCATAAAATCCTCCATTATATATAGATCCTAGTAACAACTTAAGGAGTTCTGGTGATTTCTTTCAAAGGAACTGTCTTCCTATCATGTTGCATAAGTTGATCAAACAAATTTTGTTTTACCTTCTCCTTAGCTATTTTACCACTTCTAATATGGTACAGAGATAAAAGAAAGCCTGTCTCTTGATTTAGATGGTGCGGCAGCAAAAAGCAAGTTGCTTCCAGTTTAGTTTCAAGGCATTGTATTTACTGCTGGATTTTAATATAGTTTAACAAAAATAACTCACCTTTTCCTGGTTGGAAACCTAGTACAGGCTTTTCATATACGCGATTATCTTTGCTTGCAATCTCCTAACAAAGCATGGGCTGGGAAAATGGTAGAGGACCTCACGTCATGACTAAATATACTACAACTAGGTTTCTGTTGAGATTAATTCACTATTTTTGGCTTGGAAAAAAGAAACCAGAAGAGTTTTCACACCCAACTTCCCAAAGATCATACCAAGGTTTGATATGATACAACCACACCAGTTAAAGTGATGCAAGACAATTTTAAAGTAACCTTATCTAGAGACATACGACATAGTGTAGCAAGAAAAAAAATCAACAGTGGTGACTATACTGAAAATTCTTAATTTATTCTAACATTATAAATAAAAATAGTTCACTATCAAAATGCTTTTCATATATGTTTACAGCAAATTTTGGAATTTCAAACAGTTCAATCTGAAATTTTGAATTAATGCACACTTTCATTTCAGCTTTAGGTTTTCCTAACTTATTCCTTTCGGTTAAGTAGAATTTTCAAACGTTTGAGCTGTATTCAATGTATTAACCTACAAAGTGACACAAGACTCTTTGTTGCTTCATATGATTGCAAGTTCTAATCTCTAGGAATCTCAAAAGGGTCAAAGTCACTACTCCAATGATTCTAAAAATTGTTTGAGTATTCTGTGAAAAAGCTGTCCACTCCATAAGTCTATTCTAAGTTCCCAGGAATATTCTGGAACTTATCTGTAGCAGATTTTTGGAAGAAATACAAACCTAGCCAGGCTCATGTACTCCATACTCCCAATTAGAAGGCAGACTTTAATGAAGTCAGACTTCATTAAATTGGTTCCTTCTTCAATGTGCTGGGAACCCAACTTCCTAAACTGTTCTGTAGAATTGTAGAGGTGTCAGTTCTAGCACATCTGGAAGGCCCACCACAGGAAAATTATAGGTATTTTGTGCTATTCATAATGTTATTCATAATATTTTTGTCTATTTATTTATCTGGTTTGTTTCTTTTTTAAAAAAA